TGCGCCCAGCCAAATTGACATATTAAAGCCTCACATTATTCCAATGATACTGTGCCATCAGGACCCCCAATTTGCAAATGAGGAAACTGAGGCACAGAGAGATTAAATCATGCTCGAAGGCCCAGTCAGTTGGATCGCCTGAGGTCAAGAGTTTGAGACCAGCTTGACCAACATGGTGAAACCCCATCTCTACTAAAAATACAAAAATTAGTCAGTTATGGTGGTGCCTGCCTGTAATCCCAGCTACTCGGGAGGCTGAGGTTGCAGTGAGCCGAGATTGCATCATCGCACTCCAGCCTGGGCGACAGAGCAAGATTCCGTCAAAAAAAAAAAAAAAAAAGAAGATATAGAAATGAATTAAGACATTCCAGCTCAGCCCAAGCAAGGCAGAGATTGGGGCTGCCTGCAGCAAAAGGGAATAAAATGAGACTCCAGGCAGAACTTTCAGGGCAGCAGCTTGCATGCAAAGAAGGTGGACATCGCTCTGTCTGTTCGGCCTGCAGGCAGAAGGCCTCCCAGCTGCTCTGGGAGGCACGTCTGGAATGGTGGTTGCCTCTCAGAGATTCCGAGGCTGAGCCAGGCGGAGCCTCTGGCAGGGGGCCAGAACCTCAGGGTTGGGTGTTTGGGATAGACATAGAACAGGCGGGTGGTGTCCAGAGCTGGCCAGGAACAACACGGGCCGGCGAGAAAACACAGCTGGGTCCGTGCCCTCCAGCCTGTGCCCTCTGCTCTGTCGGTAGGGGCTCTGGCCACCTGACATTCGAGGCTGGGATGAGAACTTGGGCCCTACCTTCGAGCTCTGCGGCAGATTCAAGCTGTCCTGGGTTTGTTTATTTTTACTTTTCTTCTTTTTCTGTTTTTTGAGATGGAGTCTCACTGTCATCCAGGCTGGAGTGCGGTGGCGCGATGTTGGCTCACTGCAACCTCCGCCTCCTAGGTTCAAGCAATTCTCCTCCCTTAACCTCCCGAGTAGCTAGGACTACAGGCGTGTGCCACCATGCCCGGCTTATTTTTGTATTTTTGGTAGTGACGGGGTTTCACTATATTGGCCAGGCTGGTCTTGAACCCCTGAGCTCAGGTGATCCACCCACCTCAGCCTCCCGAAGTGCTAGGATAATAGGCTTGATGTCCTGGGTTTAGATACTGGCTCAGTTGAGCCACTTCCTGGCTGTGTCACACAGGACAAATGAATCTCCTCAAGCCTCAGTTTCCCCAGGTATAAACAGGGTTGACCAGAACATTATCAGCAGAAGCAGCAACCAGTACTTAACCATGTGCATTAATTCACAAATTCTCCACCTCTCTAAGACGGAGAGCATTATCATGCCACTTCACAGATAGGGATGTTTAGGGCTAGAGAGGTGACGTTGCTTACCCAGTATCACACCGCATGAGTTTGAACCCATCTGGCAGAGCCTCCCTGACCATGTTTCAAGAAAAACAGCTGTCATTATCATTATTATTATTTTTGAGACACAGTTTCACTCTGTTGCCCAGACTGGAGTGCAGTGGCATGATCTCAGCTCACTGCAACCTCCGGCTCCCAGGTTCAAGCATTTCTTGTGCTTCAGTCTCCGAAGTAGCTGGGATTACAGGCACCCACCAACATGCCCGGCTAATTTTTGTATTTGTAGTAGCGACAGGGTTTCACCACGTTGGCCAGGGTGGTCTTGAACTCCTGGCCTCAAGTGATCTGTCTGCCTCTGCCTCCCAAAGTGCTGGGATTACAGGCATGAGCCACCGTGCCTGGCCAGCTGTCATTATTATTATTAATTATTTTGAGATACAGTTGCACTCTGTTGCCCAGGCTGGAGTGCAGTGGTGTGATCTTGGCTCACTGCAACCTCCGCCTCCCAGGTTCAAGCGATTCTCCTGCCTCAGCCTCTGGAGTAGCAGGGACTACAGGTGTGTGCCACCACGCCTGGCTGATTTTTGTTATTTTTAGTAGAGACAGGGTTTTACTGTGTTGGCCAGGCTGGTCTTGAACTCCTGGCCTCAAGCCATCCGCCTGCCTCGGCCTCCCAAAGTGTGGGATTACAGGCATGAGCCACCGTGCCCGGCCCAGCTGTCATTATTATGAATCATTTGGGTGGCTTCTCCCAGGGACCTCAGGACAACCCAGCAGCTGACATTCTGCACAGCCGGCATCCCCTTTCCTGGCATCAGGACTCAGTACTTCCTCTGGGAAGCACCCCCTTCCTCCCTCAAAGGCCACAGGGCTTGGGTGGGGCTCCCATACCCCCAGTGTCCATGGCTAGGCAGACAGGGACACCACACTGTGACTGGCTCAGCAATGGGCACATGACCCAGGCCAGCCAATGAGGGCCCCCTCTGGGATTTTTACTGGTGCTCTTTGGACTAAGGAGCTCCCTCTGCACTAAACGGAACAGACAGATGCCTGGAGCAGTGAGGTCACCTTCCCTCGCCTGCCTGAAAGAGAAGCTCCCAGGGTAAACAAAAAATGAAAGGCATCAAGTTAGATTCCTGATGATACCTGAGCACTGAAGCCAGCATGGTGGCTCATGCTTGTAATCCCTGCACTCTGGGAGGCCAAGACAGGAGGATCACTTGAGCCCAGAAGTTTGAGACCAGCCTGGGCAATATAATGAGGCTTTGTCTCTACAAAAAATTTAAAAAAATTAACACGGCACTCGTTAATTTTCTTCCACCAGACACATCACTCCAACTCTTAGAGAGTCTCTGTCTTGTCATCCACAAAAGGGGAAGAATTGTGCAGCCAACCTCGGGGCTGTAGCAACCATGCAGAGAAATTAGGTGACTGCCACTTTGTCAGTATCCAGAAAGCGGGAGGTATTTGGGGGAAAGCTCCCCAAGGCTGTTGGTTTACCAGGCAGAAATCCTCCCTGTTTATTCAGTAAGTGGCAGGAATCAATCTTGGACCAGTTTAAGCAGTGAAAAGGAATTGTGTTGTTATGTAACTGATGACAGCTTCAGGCATGGCTGGATCCAGGTGCACAAATATCTTGTTGTTGTTGTTATTAAGA